TACGAATCTATAGACAAGAAATACGAAGGCATTAACTCATTTTAGCTTTACGTTTGATAGGTTCTGTTTATTTTCTTTATAATGTCCATGATTGAGATTCCACTTTATATGTTGCTATTGGAATTGGTAATGGACCTAGTATGGGCTCACAAGACGTGTCCCAAAAATTTAAATAAGTTTTAGTATACAGGCCATGAGTAATGTCTCAAAAAAAATCTAATTTCTCATGAGTATTCAAATATTGTGAAATTTTTAACAGCCTTTGACAAACTTTTTTTTAATATTCTTATTAGAAATAATCACATTTTTGCAACTTTTTACCCATTTCTGAACATCTATTTCCACCTATAATTAACAATTTTATGTACATGGCATTAAAAAGAAAATTCTGATTTTATTCTATTCTTTATAGTTCATTTTACCATACATTACACAGTTTCATTTAACAATTCTTAACTCTGAAAATTAATGAATATTAACTAGTGCTTAAAAAAATTCTTTTAATGTAGTGTAAAACATTGAACTAGAAGTATTATAAAATGATTAGACCCTATACCTCCCCATTAAATCAGCAAGCAATTTTCAAAACTATTCTTGGGAAATTTTCAGACGCAATATAATAAAATATGACAATAGTCAAGCTCAAAATGTGCTCTTTACATATTTTTACTAGGCTGGATTTCATTTTAATTACTTTATCGATTGTACATATATATTTTTATGGCAAAAATCTAGAATTACTTTTCATTTTGGCAAAAGAATTTATTAATATATTTTGCTAAGTTGAATGATTTTTATGGTATTTTTTTGTTCACTTAAAACATTGAATTCTTTTTTATAGACACATNTTATTAAATATGAGATGTCTTTGTTAAAGCTTTTTTATAATGTCTTTATTGTTATCAATCAGTTATTAAAAACTGTCTATTGTAAACCCTAAAGTACAGATAAAGCGCTCCCTCCCCTTTTTTTGACAAAAATTGCGATATGTAAAGGGGAGTGTATAAAAAGCACTGAAGAAAATACAAAATGTCGTTTTACGGAAACTACTATATTTGATTGGGCGTAATTAAATATGAAAATTGTAAACAAAATAAAGTAAAAATGATTATAGCAAAATGAAGTGAATATAAGTTTTAATTAGTAAATCTAATTTACCTTCTACTGTAATCCTTTATTTTTAATGAGAGTATGATTGCAGCACATGCAAATAGGTAAAAAAAATAAAAACTCAGCAAGAAAAAAAAAAAAAATATGAACTTGAAACTATTTTAAAAAATATATATAATTTATCTATTCACATACATCAGAATTCAAAAATCTATCGAAAGAAAGATCATCCAAAATAAGGTTGATGCATTCAGTTCATTAGTAATATTATTGTCTATAGATCCGTCAATAACTCCTTCTAATTGGAAATGAAAGAGCCCATTTTCGCTTCCATCTAATGAGTTGAAAATACTACAACAGTTAAATTAGTTTCAGATCATCTCTTAGGCTTCAAAAGGCCAGCACAAAACCAATTACAACTTGCCAAGTTGACCTTTTTAGATTTCTGTCTTGTTTATTCCTAATGAAGAGCACCCATTCTCTTCTTAATGTACTTTTAAAGGGTGCCATCCACTAAACATCTATTGGCTGCAGAAGGCTCTCGCACCCGCCCAGAATTAAAACTACATCTGTGCCCAGACTTTTTAATTTTTCAGGGAGACTAGAGGTTCTATGGATTGAGGCCTGATCCAAGATAATTAACCTCTTTATTTCGACCCCAAATCCTTATCAACCAACTTTTCATAAGGTTGGCGATCATCCATCCCTTGACAAAGCAGGTAACCTTAATAATGTTGTGTCATATTTTTAGGCAATTATTCTAGGAAAGGATCTCCATATCTCATCCATTCAATTCCACCCCTTTTCTACTCTAGTTACTGATACTGATTGACAATCAGTATGTGTGTGAAACTATAGGGGGCGATTTCTCCTGTCCTGGTATTTTATCTGTATTTTATGGTAATTTCCTATAGAATGATATAAGTTCTATTCACATGAAAAGTTAAGAAACACGTTTCTATTGGGATTTTTACACATAAAATCTTTGGAATCTTTTTTTAATTTTAACATCTAGCATACAAAAATGTAATCTGGCTTGATATTGATTTGTATTTTTTCTTCTTTATCGATCATTTACTGGCATCATAAATTTACTTTTACAAGTGTCTTCATCTTTTGATCCAACCTGTTCTTTGCCTATCGCGGATTGTGGATTGCCTTTGTTATTATCTCATCATTGCACCATATTCCTTCAGTACCTTTTCCTTCGTATTTTCATGTTTTATACCATCTTTTACTCCCTCTTAATAAATTCTCTGACGAAATGCAACTTCACTTTGAAAGAAGTCCTAATGAGCCTGATGTAATAAAGGACCTCATAACAGCTTCTAAGAAAAGGTCAGCTTCTTCTTGCTCTATTTTTAACATAAGATAGAGTACCATAAATTCAGAGGAATTTGAAAATTGATAAACATTTACAACCCCATATCACTAATCAAATCTTATGAATGCTTTCAATGTTGCAGAATGGTTCTTTACTTTTCTGTTGCCAAATTACATCTCTTTGTAAAAATAGGATATACTATATAGAAGACTTCCATAATTTAAAAACCTCCAAAATCTGTGAATTTTTTCTACCTAGAGTGGAGGAAAAATTAGCTAAAGCAATTTTAAATTAGAGGCAAGATGCGAAAAATTTCATGCCATAATTTTATTGTGTTGAAGAAATTAAAGATAAAAACCATGTGAATTAGCAGTGAAAACATTGCAAATTAAACGTATTAAGAAGTGATTACTCAAATGTGTGTGTCATAATTCTAATAAACTATTAAAAACCTGAGGATTTTATGAAATTTGTAACAATTGCTGCAACAAGAAAACAATCCATAAGACTGCACAAGTTATGATAAAATCATAATAAAAGGAGTACTTTGTTGAAAAGTGTACTTAAATACATAATTTGAATTAATCTGTATTATTAATGTTGTATTGAAAGTATTTAGATTTGTAAAATTATTTGGAAATCCATAACAATAACTGCTGGTTAAAATATAAAAAATCACACATACTTATGATGAAATCTAGTATGCCAAAAAGGGATTATTTGAATGCCCTATTTGAAATTCGTGTGTTTTCATGATATTCTACAAAAATATAACTGTCTAAGAACAGAAGGAAAATATAATGTAAATTTAAGCAAATCGTAAACTTAAAAAATATTACTTGAAATTCATAAGTCATAATATAATATTAAAATAATGAAATTTTAAAAAGGCTGCAAAAATTTGTAAAATTATTGTCAAAACAAAGAGTAAAAATTCCCTAAGTTTACGATGGAATCAAACACACATGTTTTATAATTTTGAGCTTTTAACTTTGGCATTTCTATTTGCTTAAAAATAATGTATTAAAAATCTGCAATATTCTGGAATACAGAATTTCCAAGCTGTCCTACTTTTTGATGCTTGTAATAAAATTTTGATTGCAAAGAGGCTCAGATCTATGATTCCTCCTTCTTATAAAAAGAGCTTCTTCTCATTGGGAAAGACTATTAAAGAGAAACCTGAAAATAAACTTGAAACATCTGAACAAAAGTAATGAAAAAAATATTTTTATTGTTAATTTCAAATCCTATGCAATATTTTATTTATTGTTTTATTTTGCCTAAGCTACCTTGAGAGATAACCTTAGATATTTCGTAAATACAAAAAATATACACTTAAGTAGAGTTATCTCTAGACATTGTATAGCTTGTGCAAAATATTTTAAATATTCTCTTCCTGTATATTCAGCCATACATGCATTTTAAAGCAAAATTATTGATTGTAAGTGGACAAAATAAATTTTAAATGCAGCATGCTTGATTATTTTCATTTTGAATATGAATTTAAAATTTTTTTGCCTTCTAATAGTTTCATTCTTAATTTAAATTGTAGCAAATCATAATAATTTAAATTGTAGCAATTCATTGAAAACTTTTGAGTCATTTGATACTCTGCATGTATATTAAATTATTAAAATGTGGGATTATAAGATATTTATAGTAGCAAAATGTTCTGAGAATTGTGACATGTCTGCGTTAAACTAAGCATGAGGAATGTCATTGCAAACCATATTACATTTCATGTTATCTAGGATTTTCTTTTAAATATGTTCACATTGAAGCATGCATGCATATATACAGGGTTATTCATAATTCCCTCCGGGGTTTCAAAGTGTTGTAGTAAAAAAACGAAGATGAATATGTCAAAAAAGAACATATGAAATTATGAATAACCCTGTATATATATATATATATCAGACACATCACCTAGGTAGAATATTTGTTAAAAATTTAATACAAAAAGAGTAGCAGCTGAACTTGAGTTGTTTTCACCTATTTAGTTGTTTGTACTTATTCATTTAGGTACCATGAATTTAAAATTTAATATTAAATTAATTCGTTTGAAATTTATTACTTGCAAAAATTGCAGCAAATGCTTATGATTCTATACAGTAATTTTAGTTATTTATTTATAGGTTTTATATGCTTTGGATGAATTACAGAAGCCTGTATTAAATGGAGAAGGCATTACCCTTATATCCAAGAATTGTTTTGTTGCTCTCTTACTGCTTTGCTTTCAACATGGCATTTATTTGATTTTATTGCTCAAATTCTTGGATTTTTACACCACCAAACGATGCACCATTGATGTTCTATATGTACCATCATTCTGTGAGGTATATTCATTAGGAGTCGCAAATTTTATGTTGAAATACATATGATATCAAAATTAGTCGAATTAATAGTATAATAAGGGATGTGAAATCATCAAAACCAGTTTGATTGCCTGATGAAAATTTAAAATATTTCTAGTAATGGATTTTCAATTCCTCTGTTTTTTATAATATGGGATTTGATTAAATAAAGATTGTAAACATTTTGTCCTCTCTTTGCCCCCTCATGTTAATTCTAAACAACCTAATTGTTTGCCTTTCATACTTTTGTTTTCTATTCTCTAACTTTTTATTTGAATCTTACTCTTTAAGAGAATACCATACCGTGGAACAAATTTTTCATCGCAAATTCTTTTTCTCCTTTAATTTAAAAGAAAAGAAAAAGTTCAGGCAAACCTAGAGTAAACCATGAAGTTTCAAATACTAAAAAAAAAAGGTTTTTAAATATACAAATGAAAATAAATTGTGAGATGATAACTTAGGATTACACAACGAAGAAAGTTCTCTTCGAAAAATTTGTTTGCGTTTTAATATTTTGAGGTATTTTCTTTTCTTTCAGCAATTGAAACTTCATGACTTATTGCTTCAACTTTTTCTTTTCTTTTAAATTAGTAATGCAGGAGAAAGAAAATTTGAGACGGAAATTTTTTAATTCTGTAAAAATTTAGACAAAATCTTCTAAAAACCATCAAAAGAATTTTAAAATGAAAAATAACGGTCTTAATTTTTAATTGCACGTTTTACACCAACAAAATACTAACATTTACGCTTTATAAAAGTAAAATAATAAAAATAAATGAGTGATTTATGAATGAAATACAATCTAAATATATAGATAGAGGCAAATAAGATTTTGTAACATTTTGAAAAAATTTGATTACAAGACAAAAAAGACTTATTAAAGTTGATTATACTCTGATTATAGAAATTTGAAAAATTCTGTTCTTTGCCAACACGATATTTAAAATTGCAAGGTTCAATGCAAAATTTACATTACGGTCGAACCCCGGTTTACCGAATTTCGCGATTTAACGAATTTTATGAAGTAGATTTATAGGAAACAATGAATAGCGACTCAGACACACAAGTCGATGATAATGGATCTCTAGTGAAAACTGTTACTTTTTCTGATGCTTTGCTCTTCGTGACGTCGGTAAAATAAAAAACATTTTAAAGTAAAAAAAATCAAGGAAATTAGCAAACCTTACTCACGAATTGCATTAAGATTTCAAATTAATTAGAGCGTAATCATCAGTTGTATTTTAAGTACATGTATAAAAAGTGTAAGACTTCTATTTATTTTGCATAGTTGTTGATTACAGATGTTTGGATATTCCATAATTTTTATTTTATTTTGCCTTGATATTATGAATTATCCTCGATTTAGCGAGTTTCAGGGCCCACAGAGCTTTTTTCCAACTACTTTGGAAGTTTGTTCATGTTGGTATTCCCCACAATTTACCACTAAATTATTACTCTTAGAATTTTATTTACACATATTTTTTAGATTTTCAATAAACTTGCCATTTAGTAGAAGTTTTATGGCTAAATTGATACGGTTTTAAATAGCTCTAACACATGATATTTGATACTTTAAACTCGAGTGCGAGTTAGATGAGATTTTCATAAAACCTTTAACTGCCATTGTATTTGATCAAACTCAAAAGAAAAATATTTTAATAATTTGTAGTAACTATTTCACCTCGACTAATTATTACGACTAAGAATGATAAAATGTAGTATGAATATTGGGTAATTGCATTGCACAATTAAAGAAATGTTTATTTTCCCCAAACACGTCAATGTCAACTGCTAATTATTGAAACTCTTTCCTAAGTTTTACTTTCTGATGGGAACTTCTCCAAGTCAATTACTCATTGATATAATAATTTTCTTAATAGAGGTAAAAGCTCTAAATTTAGCTAACAGTTTTTTAATCGTTGTTATTCATGAATAGCAAGAAGCACTTTTTATTGTATTACGATAGATTTTCTACTTGACTCTTTTTTTAACTCAACGATTTTATATCAATATTTTAAATACAGTCGGACCTCTAACGAAGTCGCTAAATCCCGATACATAGTCCAACTACGGCACGTCCGCGACTGTAGTGCCGCTTTGCGGTGCCCCAAAATGACAGACTCTACACTGCTTAAGTACGACACACACCACACACGCCAGTGCCTTTACTCTTTAGTTCGGCTTCAGTGCTAATTAGTGACCAAAAAAGGCGGACAATCTATGGTCCTACTGCGGCACGTGCGCGGCTGCAGTGCCGCGTTGCGGTGCCCCAAAATGGCAGAATCAACACTGCCCTACTACGACACGCTTGTGCCATTACTCCTCAGTTGAGCTTTCGCACTAATCCGTGGCCAAAGATGGCGGACACTCCCCTGGCCCCACAGCGGCACGTGCGTGGCTGTAGTGCAGCGTTGCGTTGGCCCAAAATGGCGGACACTACACTGCCCTACTAGACCCTACCAAAGACCTAAGTTCTCAGTTGCGCTTCCGCTCTAATCAGTGGCCAAAGATGGCGGACCCTCCATGGCCCTGCACGTGCGCGGCTTTATTGTCCCTTAGCGGTGGCCCAAAATGTCGGACTCTACACTACCTTACTACGACTAGCCAGTACCTTTACTCCTCAGTTCGACTTCCGCTATAATCCGTGACCAAAGATGGCGAACACTCCCCGGCCCTATTGCGGCACGTGCTCGGCTATAGTGCCGCGTTGCGGTGAGCAAAATGGCAGGAAACTACATTGCCTTACTACTACATGCCAGAGCCTATACTCCTCAGTTCGGCTTCCGCTCTAATCAGTGGCCAAAGAAGGCGGATAGTTTATAGCCCTACTGCGGCACGTGCTTGGCTGTAGTGCCGCGTTGCGGTGACCAAAATGGCAAGAATATACACTGCCCTATTACTACAGGCCAGTGCCTTAACTCCTCAGTTCGGCTTCCGCTCTAATCAGTGGCCAAAGATGGCGGCCCCTCCATGGCCCTACTGCGGCACGTGTGCGGCTTTATTGCCGCGTTGCGGTAGCCCAAAATATCGGACTCTACACTGCCCTACTTCGACACGTCAGCGCCTTTACTCCTTAGTTCGACTTCCGCTCCAATCAGTGGCCAAAGATGGCGGGCACTCCGTAGTCCTACTGCGGCACGCCCGCGACTGTTGTGCCGCATTGCGGTGCCCCAAAATGTCAGACTCTTCACTGCTTAACTACGACACACACGCAAGTGCCTTTACTCCTTAGTTCGGCTTCAGCTCTAATCAGTGGCCAAAGAAGGCGGACACTCTATGGCCCTACTGCGACACATGTGCGGCTGTAGTGCCGCGTTGTGGTGGCCCAACGTGTCGGACTCTACACTGCCCAGCTACGACACGCCAAAGCCTTTACTCCTCAGAAGGGTATCAGCTCTAATAAGTGGCCAAAGAAGACGGACACTCTATGGCCCAAATGCGGCTCGTGCGCGGCTGTAGTGCCGCGTTGCAGTGCCCCAAAATGGCAGACTCTGCACTGCCCTTCTACGACACGCATGTGCCTTTACTCGTCAGTTGAGCTTCCGCTCTAATCCGTGGCCAAAGATGGCGGACACTCCACGGCCCTACTGCGGCACGTACGTGGCGTAAGTGCCGTGTAGCGGTGGCCAAAATGGAGGAAACTACACTGCCCTACTACGACACGCCAGTGCCTTTACTCCTCAGTTCGGCTTCCGCTCTAATTAGTGGAAAAAGATGGAGGGCACTCCATCGCCGTTCTGCGGCACGTACGCAGCTGTAGTGCCGCGTTGCGGTGGTCCAACATGTCGGACTCTACACTGCCCGACTACGACACGCCAATGCCTTTACTCCTCAGCTGGGCTTCAGCTCTACTTAGTGGCCAAAGAAGACGGACACTCTATGGCCCAACTGCGTCTCGTACGTAGCTGTAGTGCCACGTTGCGGTGACCCAGAATGGCGGAATCTACACTGCCCTTCTACAACACGCATGTGCCTTTACTCCTCAGTTGAGCTTCCGCTCTAATCCGTGGCCACAGATGGCGGACACTCCACGGCCCTACGGTGGCACGTGCGTGGCTGTAGTGCCGCGTTGTGGTGTCCCAAAATGGTGAACACTACACTGCCATACTAGACCCTACCAAAGACTTTAGTTCTCAGTTGCGCTTCTGCTCTAATCAGTAGCCAAAGATGGCGGACACTCCTTGGCCCTACTGCGGCACGTGCTCGGCTCTAGTGCCGCGTAGCGGTGACCAAAATGGCAGGAAACTACACTGCCCTACTACTTCACAAATGCGCCTTTACTCCTCAGTTGAGCTTCCGCTCTAATCCGTGGCCAAAGATGGCGGACACTCCATGGCCCTACTGCGGCACTTCCGCGGCTGTAGTAACGCGTTGCGGTAACCAAAATGGCGGACTCTTCACTGCCCTACTACGACACGCCAGAGCCTTTACTCCTCCCAAAGATGGCGGACACTCCACGGCCCTACTGCGGCGCGTGCACGGCTGTAGTGTCCCGTTGCGGTGGCCCAAAATGGCCGGAATCTACACTGCCCTACTACTACAGGCCAGTGCCTTTCGGCTTCCGCTCTAATCCGTGGCCACAGATGGCGGACACTCCACGGCCTTACGGTGGCACGTGCGTGGCTGTAGAGCCGCGTCGTGGTGGTGACCCAAAATGGTGAACACTACACTGCCATACTTGACCCTACCAAAGACTTTAGTTCTCAGTTGCGCTTCCGCTCTAATCAGTAGCCAAAGATGGCTGACACTCCTTGGCCCTACTGCGGCACGTGCTTGTCTGTAGTGCCGCGCTGCGGTGACCAAAATGGCAGGAAACTGCACTGCCCTACTACTTCACACCTGTCCAATTACTCCTCAGTTCGGATTCCGCTCTAATCAGTGGCCAAAGATGGCGGACTGTCTATAGTCCTACTGCGGCACGTCCGCGGCTGTAGTGCCGTTTTGCGGTGCCCCAAAATGGCAAGAAAATACACTGCCCTACTACTTCACAAATGCGCCTTTACTCCTCAGTTGAGCTTCCGCTCTAATCCGTGGTGAAAGATGGCGGACACTCCATGACCCTACTGCGGCACTTCCGCGGCTGTAGTGCCGCGTTGCCGTGACCAAAATGGCAGGAAACTACACTGCCCTACTACTTCACAAATGCGCCTTTACTTCTCAGATGAGCTTCCGCTCTAATCCGTAGTCAAAGATG